CCCCAAAACCCCAAAACCCCAAAACCCCAAAACCCCAAAACCCCAAAATAGTTTCCAAAAATTGAAGGTGCCAATTTATTTTTGTTCACCAGTGGCAGCCCGGTTTGGAGTGCTATTCCTGATATCCTTCCTAGTTATAGCAGGCTTTAGCCTGCTATAGAAGGAGAGGGTATTCGCCATACTTGGCTCTCTGACCCGGCACTTCCTCAAGTCGTGAGCAGCCTTGTTGCCATTACTCTGAGTGGAGAACCCACAATAGCTAAAATCTGGAGACCAATAGAATGACTTGTAAGTCCCAAGTTGTTCTATCTGGCGAGGCCAGATAGAACTCTTGGCCTCCTTACTGAGTCTTTGCATTATGTCCTCTCTTCTTCTTTGGTATGACTTCTCCGGACTCAGGTTTTTCTTGGGGCACAGCTTTGTGCTCTCAGAAGCATCTGGAGATTAGAAATAAAATATACCTAGCCCAAGATGATCAGTCAGCACATGACTACTACGATGTTTTCTTCTTGTGCTCTGGAGTATTCTCTATAGAAAAGAGAAGAGGCAGTACCTTGGAGCCTCTCTTGTGGGTCCTGGCTTTGGGTACATAAGTTGTGGCTACATATTCAGACTTATAAATCTTGGTTTTCCCTTTCAGGACTGGCTTGAAGCCTAAAAATTTGCCAGAATTGGGATACTCTTAATATCGTCATTTAGATTAGACTTTCGTTTTATTTTTGTAAACCTTGTTTTTGCTGTGAATGGCCGCTTCCGCTTGTTGCTACCATCTGATAAGGTCAGATAAAGAATTACTCCTGAAGTTGGTGATCTGTTGGTCATTTCTAGACAGGTGACTTACAAGCATACCATAAGTTGTAATCTTTGATGACCCTATCAGCTCTTGATTTTGAGTAAATTTTTCTTTCATTTTGAATATTCTCATTCATCTGAGAATAAACTCTGATGGATTCCTTAAGATTACCATCATGAGTGAAGTGCTTGAGCCTGTTGCTAGCCCGATATGAGCTCTTAGCTCGCCCCTTTTTGTTAGAATTTCTATAAATTCCTAGAGTAAAATACTTTTTAATTGGTCCAACATTGAACATATTTGGTGTGAAGTCATCCTCCAGGACGATTTCTGACGAGATCTTTGCGTTTAGAGTTGAGTTTCGCTTTCAGTAATTTCCTTATCTACCGATAAGCAGAAGGGATTACCTAAATCTGGAATATCATTCGTTTGCTCTAAAGTCATGGTTTTCCTTTGATCCATGATCTTTGAAGGTGGAAGCCTCTTTACAGAGTGGTTCCTCGGCTTGGTTCTACAAAATGAAATACAACCAATACCTAGCAGCTGGCTGGAAGCGAATGTTCGAATAAACTCCTATATATTTGGGTTTGAATGATAAATAAATTATTTACTCTTGAATCGATTCTTCAGGTTACGCATGTAAGTATTATGACGTTTGACCTGTTTCTTTCTCTGTGGGTTATCCTCTATCAAAGAAGTTTGATGATTAAGCTCCCTTAGTGGCTATACTAGTCATCCTAAAACATTACAATGCTGGTCTTGTTCATATTTAAAAATTATTTAAAAAGATTACTTTTGGGGTTTTGGGGTTTTGGGGTTTTGGGGTTTTGGGG